AGTAAAATTTCACAGATTTCGGTGAAATAATCTTACACACTTAAAAATTTTCGCCGAGATTCCAACAGCCGAGTAATTCTGTAATTTATTTTGCTGAGATTCAGTCAAACAATTGCCGAGACTCAGCTAATATATAATATTTTGCTGAGATATCAGCTAACAAACAGATTGTTTGCAGAGATATCAGCAAAACTAAATGCCGAAGTAATCGGCTGTTGGATATTTTACCGAGCTAGATTAATTGTGTAGTGTGTAGGCTTCGTCAAATCTAATTTTTTGTTAGATCTACCAATTCATTAGTAAATCCTTCAAATTGAGCTTTTCTGATTAATTCCACAGTGGTCGAGTGCAGGGATTTGGACGAGATCACTACAGAAGAGGAGCTGAGAAGTGCGTTGATACGGCTGTCATCAGATGCAGCAAATAAGCTGTTGGAGACGGGTAGCTTGCTCGCTGAAAGCCACTCCTCGGGTTACCAAGCAACTGGAGCGAAGCTTCAAGTGCATGGGTTTCGGTCACCAGGCGAGGAACTGCAATGGCCCTGACAGATCTGATCTGTGCAGGAAATGCGAGGAGAAAGGTCTTATTACAAGAGGCTGCATGAAGAAACCAAGGTGTATGCTGTGCAAAAAAGAGGGCGAAAATGATCATACTACGGGAGGTTTCAAATGCCTAGCATACAAAATTAACGGAATCTTCATATGTAGTTGTTACGGACTCCCCATATGGCCTATGGAGTAGTGCCATGAGATTCTGTATGGGCATACCGAAGAGCTGATTGGACAACGACCGGTAGTCATCGGAGGAGACTTCAATGCTTGGGCAATGGAGTGGGGAAGCAGATGTTCCAATGCAAGAGGGCAAAGTCTGCTGGAAGCTCTGGCAAAACTGGAAGTTATGCTGACGAACGAAGGCACCAGCAGAACTTTTCGCAGAGATGGCTGGGAATCCATTAGCGACGTTACTTTCTGCAGTCCTTCGCTGGTGGCAAACATGGATTGGAGAGTGTGTGAAGGATACACCCATAGCAACCATCAGGCGCTCCTATATAGCGTCGACCAACGGAATACTGTGGCACTACGGAGGACGAGAACTTGTGACCGGAAGTAGAAGACGAATGCTTGCGACAAGGATATTTTCGTTGAGGCACTCCGTGTGGACAGGAGCCCCGTGGTTCTGAACGCGGACGAGCTGACAGAAACGTTAGTGAGAGCATGTGACACGACCAAGCTGAGGAAACTGGAGCCAAATAACAGACGGCATCCAGTTTACTGGTGGAACGAGGCACTTAGAACCCTCCGCGCTAGTTGCCTCAGAGCCAGAAGACGTGTTCAGAGAGCAAGAACAGGAGCAGACAGAGAGGAACGAGGAGAAGTGTTTCGAGCGGCCACGAGATATATAAACGAGATATAAAGCAGAGCCAGTCAAACTGTTTTAAGGAGCTGTGTCGAGACGCTGATGCCAACCCCTGGGGCGACTCATACCGAGTCATGATGGCGAAGATCAGAGGTCCAACGATCCAGGCGTCCCCGGATATGTTCAGGATGGTGCTGCAGAAATGCCTGGACGAGGGTCACTTTCCTGACAGGTAAAATATACAGAAGCTAGTGTTACTGCCGAAACCAGGAAAACCACTGGGGGATCCAGCATCGTTTCGGTCTATATTCCTGCTGGATACACTTGGAAAACTCTTGGAGAGGATCATTCTAAACAGGCTGACGAAATGCGCGGAGAGTGAGCACGGATTGTCGGAGAGGCAGTTCGGATTTCAGAAGGGGATATCGACGGTGGATGCAATTCGGACAGTGGTCGAAAGGGCTGAGAAGGCGTCCAAACAGAAGTGGAGAGAAGATCGATATTGTGCCGTGATAACAATCGACGTAAAGAATGCGTTCAACAGCGCCAGCTGGAAGGCCATCCCCGAAGCACTGCATAGAATGAGAGTCCTTGATTACCTGTGCAGAATCCTGAGCGGGTTCTGGTCTACGAGACAGACATGGGCCGGAAATCGATAAGGATCACAGCGAAAATTCCACAAGACTTCATCCTTGGTCCGACGCTCTGGAACGGGATGTACAAGAGCCTTTTAACGCTGAAGCTGCCCAAAAGAGTTGAGATCGTTGGCTTTGCGGACAACGTCGTCTTGACGGTAACAGGCAAGATGCTGGAAGAACTGGAAGTTTCGTCAACCGAGGCGATAGACATGATTGGTAACTCAATGCAAGGAACGAAGCTGCAGATAGCCAACAGCAAAGCGGAAGCGTTATTCGTCAGTATCTGTAAAGCGGTACAGCGGGCAGAAATCATCGTCGGGAAGCACGCCATAGCCTCAAAGCGTGTGTTAAAAGCGGGGAGTGATGATTGATGACCGACTAAACTTAAACAGCCACGTCGAATATGCCTGTGAGAAGGCTTCGAAGGTCATCAACGTGATAGCTAGAATCATGCCGAACAACGCTGGTCCCAGCAGTAGCAAGAGGCGTCTTCTGGCCAGTGTGTCGTCGTCGATACTGAGGTATGGAGGTCCAGCCTTAGTTCCAGCGCTGGAAACGGAGCAGAACCAAAGGAAACTGAGCAGTACGTTCCGGATCATGGCCATGCAAGTCGTGAGTGCGTACAGAACTATCTCGTTGGAAGCAGTATGCGTTATCGCTGGAATGATCCCTATCGGCATCACCCTGGTGGAGGACAGCGAGTGCTACAAACGGAGAGAAGCTGTAAGAGTACGGAAAGTTGTGAAAGCGGAATCGTTGGCTGAGTGACAACAGGAGTCGAATACAGTGGAGAACAGTAGATGGACACATCGACTAATACCGATTCTTTCGACCTGGGTGAACAAAAAACACGGAGAAGTCAACTTCCACCTAACGCAGTTCCTGTCTGGCCACGACTGCTTCAAGAAATACCTGCCTCGGTTCGGACACGCCAGAGCATGTGGTTCGAGACAGTGCGAAGGGAGATGCCTGTCTTTAACGTGGAGAATGTCGTCGATGAAATGTGTTGAGTACTTGGAATGCCATCAACAGAGCAGTCACGCAGATTATGTCGGAGCTGCAGCGTGAATGGAGAAATGAGCAGCGATCAAGCAACGCCAGCTAGCACTGAGAGTATCAGAAGTGCATGAGCACTTTCACTGCGAGGGTCTTCAACAACTTCTTATTTTAGTATTTTTAATTGAAAGATCATTTAATTTAACGTAACATTTAAAAAAATTAGCAATGTCGACGAAGTAGTTTTGGAGATACAATTTTTTTTAAATTAAAAATCATTGTTCCGCAATATATACACCACACGTGCATGTAAACGATGAAGACGCAAGGTAGTTCACAATGCGTCTCCATCGAGTCACAGCAGCGGTGACTAACGAAATCTATGAGTAACTTACAAGTTGGGTGCAACATTCAGTTCAACCTGCGGGCTGTCCATAAACCACGTAGACCATTGCATTGCAGATCCTACCTTTCCCCATCGTATACTTTACTAAAATTTTAAAATATTTTTCCGAGCGTATACTTTGGCTTGACTCCCCTCCCCCATTGAAGTCTTCGTGGCTTTAAAACAGGCCCCAGTTTGACATTATTAATTTTGGTATCAAAATTCTGGGAGAAGTACTTATATGCTACAAATAATGACGAAGTCGAAGAAAAATAAGTAAATTCCACGGATTTCCCGGAACCGATGCCAATGTGCCCATATGTCATCATATACACTACAACCTGATTCCATTGATCATAGCTTGTCATTTTGGCATAATATGATATCATAACCTCAATTTAATTATATTTCAACAAACTGTTCGCCGGAATTCACAGATCCGCGTTCCGGAACCGATGCCAAACTGGTCAACATCATCTCAAATCATCTTCATTTACTTGATTCTACCTATTAGACATGATTTGATACTTTTACCTGAGATATTACCACAGACAAACAGACATAACACATTGTATATTTCTCACTGTAAAACATCGTCGTTAAAACATTACCGCCATCTGTTGAGTACACTGTGGTGGGTAGTACGCTGAACAGATGGTGGTAGTGTGTAAACGTCAAACTCAAGGGAAATGACTTTGCGCGCCACTTTTAAATTGACCGTTAAATGCTTGTTCGATGAACAACTTGCGAGTGTTATGTCTGTTTGTCTGTGATATTACTATGTCCTACAGAACCAATTTCCGGGACTCCCGCAACCGATAATATCGTAGCCATACGTTATGGAAATATTTAAATTCAGTCTTACTAACCATATGTCATCTATCTGATATCATTTGCTGCACCAGAAAACCGAATCGCGTGAAAATTTAAAACATTTGCTCAAACTGGTTAAAAAAGTACAAAAAAAAAACACAGACATATTTACATCTCACAAGAACGATGAGGGTTCTAAGGGGGTGGTACCTACGACAAAAGTTAGTTCAACTATTCCTCTTGAATAAAAATCCCTGTTTATGAAAATCAGATGAGGCATTGCTGAGGACGAGGTTGTTGAAAAAAATTCGTTCGTCCTGGTACTTTATGGGTTAGATACCGCTAGGAAAGTTGGAGACGGTAAGCAGAGGAATCGATACTTATGTAATTGCGCTCACTGAATTGTGAGTTGATGTTAAGGTAGAACGGTTCATATACATACATGATCGATGACTTGAGTAACTATTTTATTTATTTCAATCTAAATTTCCAATTCGTACGTCAATCCAACGTATCACGATGGCTGTAGAATAAGGGTTCTACTACCACTTTCCTTTCAAAATTTTGTCAACCCAATTCTGAGAAAGTCAGTCAAGCATATTCAGTGAGAATTTTGTAAAATATTGAAGTTTTAAGAGAAGGATTAGTATTCAATAATGATATAATATTCAATTCAATTATTACTTTCAAATAACCTATAAAGATCGAAAGTCGGTCGTAAAATTGCAAAAATATGAGCAAACAAAAATTACATGTTTTTTAAAGGATAACCCCAGACTTATGATCTTGTATTTATTTTTTTATTTATTTACCTTCCCTAGCTCAGCTTCCGACGAAAATCCCAGGCCGTAGACGGTATTCGCTCGTACGTCACTCCATTGACCGAACTTTTGTGATGTCTGGGTAAAAGTCATATTAGGTGTTATTGTTGAGTTGATCACCGCCTGGAATTTATTAATCTAAAATAAGATAACGGTAACAACTGACATGGGTGAAAATTTCATTAGAAATCCTCAAGTGATTGTTTTAATCATGTGGAATATCACTAATTTATAGAACACTGACCTAACTGCGTGCTATACACTCTAGAGTTTGTAAGTCTTATGGGTCCCGTATAGGTTATGTTATACTATATACTATGGTTATTATAGCCAAAAAGGCGAAATAACGGGCAAATTGTTTTTGGGAACGTAAGGCAAAGGTGAAACTGACCGATTGAGTAAATAAAAATAAAAAAATGGTTTTCTCTGAGGCATCACTGAAATTCCTTTTCTTAGTTCACGCAAAATGATGAAATTTTTATTTCCAATCTGAAGTGAATTCTCAGGAAAACCATTTTATAATTTATTTTTACTCACCAAGTTGCTTTCACCTTAACGAATTTTATAACGGCTTTTTATATATTTTTTTTATTTTCTAGAAATATACAAGATTGTATTGGTTTTAACGTTGACCTATGAATATAAGATTGGTCTCATCGATACAAATATACTGCTCTTAACATTTTTTAGTACCGTAAGTCGGGGTGGCATTGAGCCTAGATGGTGACGTTGAGCTATAGTTGAAACATGTGTATTGATGCATTGAATCTTCAGAAAATGATGACTAGAATATGTTTTTTGAAATCGTGGAGTAAAGTGTAGATAACAAGTTATTTTATTAAAATAGTGCTGTAAAGTTTAGTGTCTTAAATAGTAGCAAAAACAAGTTTATAAAAATGTCCAAACAAAAGTTTGAACACACCTTTATGTGGATAGACGAGGGTTACTCGTGATTTTTTGCCATTCATTAGTACATTGTGATCATATTCAAGTGTTCTCCTAATAGATACGCTACATCTACATATTTTAAGATATTTTAACCAAATTTTAGTTTTGGCCCTATGTCACCCCCTATAGGGTTTTTCATTGGTCTATTTTTTCAATTTAATTTGACTAACATGAGATATTAATTTCAATCAACAATTTTCACAGTCGTAAATAAATTATTGGTGTATATATTCACATGTTTCAAATTGCTTTCTTTGTTAACATGTGAATATTTTAAGGTAGGTAACGACAAATTTAGATTTTTTGGCTCATTGTCATCCCCATTTATGGTACACTATAATACATCTAATATCTATATATATAAAAATGAATTTCTGTCTGTCTGTCTGTCTGTCTGACCCTTATAGACTCGGAAACTACTGAACCGATTGGCGTGAAAATTTGTATACAGGGGTTTTTGGGGCCGTGGAAGGTTCTTATGATGGTTCGAGACCCCTCGACCTTCTGTAAGGGGGGGCTCCCATACAAATGAAACAGAAATTTCTGCATAACTCGAGAACTAATCAAGCAAATGGAACCAAATTAGGCATGTGGGGGCGAGTGTGGGGGTATAAGGAGATAATCATAGGGGGTAGCCCCTTAGATAATAGGGGGGGCGCTACGTACAATATAGCATGCTTTTTTTTTAAATCGGCGCATAAACTCAAGCTAATATTGAATCCCGAGCAAGACCGGGCACACTCAGCTAGTTAATAATAAAAATTGCTACAAAAGACTAATTTAAAAATCAGCATTGGGATACCATTTCTGTCAAACGCTTTGCTGAAGTCCGTATATGACGCATTTCGTGCCAAATCGTATTCGGAGCTGGCAGCACCCTCTAAGATTTCAATTAAACTTTCTGGATGTGTGGATGTAAATAAGCCACTTTGCATATACTGTACTATATATACACTGATGTATGCTATATCACCACTCAGTATGATAGCGGATTGAAAAAAAACCTCAATAGGGAAAAAACTAGTAGGGTAGAGCACTACTTCGGCCTAATCGCCCATTTTGGGCCTATCGAGCAGAAAACTTCAAATAAATCCATGATTTCAGAGTTAACAAGTCAATTATGCGTTTGGTACGATACTTTAGTTAATAAGCTACCGAACGAAGTCAATGAGAACGCGTGGTATGAAAGTTTGCACCCATTATTCCCAAAAACAAAAGAAGCGCTCCCACCGAATCAATTTTTATCTTCATACGATAGGCCGAAGTGAATTCATTAGCGTTTCAATTGCGTTTCAATGCGTTAGGCCGAGTTTAAAATCCGTAGGCCGAGTTTGGCGTCAAGAAGCAGTGTTGGACTTTTGACAATATCTCAACGTTTGGTTTCTCGTTTTCAAATCTTATGGTACGTACCGAAAGGCAAATAAATTTGGAAGCCATCAGTAATAATAACATTCCGTTTGGTGCTAAACTGATCTAGATTAAGAAAGACTAAGAGCGTCTTATGCTTAATAGGCCGGAAATGGAGTATTTAACCCTACTGAAAACGGAGTGCAAGCAACACTAGACCGAAACAGTCGAACGTTCGATGCGGAATGTGCTGGTGTTGTTGTTGTTGCAGTTATTGTTGTAGTTTTTATAGTTATTGGAGATTTCACTATTGTAGTTGGCGTGATTGGTGTTGCAGTTGTAGTCGTCGTAGTTTCTGATGTTGTTGTTATTGTTGTTTCTGCTAAGATTGTGTGAATTGTTGTTGTTGTTGAAAATTTGTTGGTGGGTCCTATTTTGCTTCCTCTGCCTTATAGCCTTTGCAGCCAATTTTTTCTGGCTCAGGCGTCGTGATTTTCGAGCATCGTACTCAGTCCAATCAGCTTTACACACCGTCCTGTCGCCCATGTCCATGGTTAGACTGCTCAAATTTGTCACTTCATTCAATTTGTCATATTCGTCAGCTCACGAGACAAATCTCCCGTAAGATCACACACGTAGTCCTCGTGCGGTTTCTCGTCGTCTCTTGAATATTGAGGTTAGGTGGTTTTTAATACCAGTCGAATTTAACGAGCTGACATCAAGACCGCGCGACAATGACGACACCGCATTTTTTACTTTTGACGATGTGTTGTTATTTACAGTTGACACCGATTCTATTAAGGTGGACAGTGAACGTTCCAGGACTGCGATCGCTTCGAGAATTGAATCAAATTTTTCGTTCTGGCTTTCAAGTCGATGCAAAACTTGCGTGTTGGTATCCAGTTGTTTTTCTAGGGCCTTATGCAGCGCAATTAGCAATCTTATATCAAATTCCAACGTGACGCTACGAGCGAATTGGAAACGCGTCCGCAATGAATGACGACTAATTTATTGCTTGATAATAAGGCAAACGTGGTGTTTTTCCTTCTTTACGTAAATACAAAAAAATAATTTCTGTTAGTAGAATCGATGCCCTATTACTCTGTTGGTCCACATCATTTTTGCACATTTAATGCCGTTTTTAAGGTGATTTAGCGTGTTTGTCGATTATAGCTATTTTTACTTGTTTGGAATTTTTGGACTATTCCGGAGGTTTTTAGTTTTGGTGTTTGGATTTCAAGCCATTCTGCAACGACTTTTTTGGTGTTCATAATTCATTTTTAATATTTCAAATCCATTTTGGAGCTATAGCATTTAGGCCTTGCAAAATATGTATTCAATATTGGAGGATTGCAAGCTCATGGAATTTCTCGAAGTGGGTCGCAATCGACAAAAGCTTGAGAACCTCTGCCATATTCATATTTGAATCAGTTGAAACATGCACATAATCTTCTAGTTTACTCGGAATCTATCGAGTTAAAGCTATATTTTGGTATTTTTTTTTTTATGTTTTGAGAGTTGGTGCACAGTGAGGAGACGCCACTGCTGAAGACAAATGGCTATTATTAGGCATAAGGATACATACCATACCATAGTCAGTCAATGGACAGGTGTCTTGTGCTATACGAAGAAGTCGTCTCGATTCATACTTGCAAGTCGCCAGCCAGTCGTGGTTCATTCACCTCTTCCACGTTTCAACTGGTACGCAACACCTTCCGTTCGAATACCCCAAGGACACGTGGTTCTCCACTAGGATAGTTCAGGTCTCGTGACCTTAGTCACTGGTCTAATCAACGTCTTGTAGAAAATTTTATTCGACCGGAGGATTCCCAAAGTAGGCTCGGTAGGAATTCCCTGCCATAAAATGCGTCTTTGAATTTCTCTGCTGGTATCATTATCGGAGGTCATCAGTGAACCCAACTACACGAACTCGTCGACCACCTCGATTTCGTCCCCGTCATTCTGAACTCGGGGTAGTTCGCTAATATTCTCTTCCCTTCCTCTGGCTATTCCGTTCCTTTTTACTTGTGTCTCTGTAGTGTTGCATGTAAATTTTGTGTGTATAGGTGGATAGATATGGTAGAGTGTGCAATATGTAGTTTGGGGATTTTGGTAAGTGATTTGCCGGTTATCTGTGCGGGTAAGTGTGCTCGTGTATTTCATTGCAAATGCACTACACTTACGCGGACTCAGGCAAAGCTTATCACAGATAATGCAAATGTTCTATTCAAGTGTAGTAATTGTCTGTCAGATCAAAGTTGTGATGAGCAGAACGTATCGGTCTTGGATACCAAAATGATGGAGAAGCAATGAAGCACTTTTCTGTTGCTGACTCTATCACTGGCATACGAAACAACGTTGCTGCTCAGATAGACAACGTGTTGAGAATTGGGATGGAAAAAAATGCAACAAAATTTGAATGATTCATTAAGTTGCTTTGAAAAATTAATTAGTGAGAAATGAAATACGGCTCTATTATTGTTGAGTATATATGAGCTAATCTAAATTATGTGAAAATGGTTTTTTTTTTTTTTTTTTATTGCCCACCACTAACCCCCACACCAAAAAGCTCTTTTGAGCCCCCTGGTAGTGGACTCATCTCAAACTTAACGTAAGGTATACAAAAAATAATAATACAATCAAATAAACTAATGCTTCATTGGTGTGTGCACGAAAGTGATGAACACTAAACAAAAACTAAATAAAGAAGGGAAGCCCAGTGGAACTATGTTCCTTTAAGGCCCCCGTCTGGAAGTATTATTGATATTATTCCCTTGCTGGGATTTTTTAGAACATCTGGGAAAACCCGCAAAAATGAGCTAGAAAAA